AAGATAAATTTAGTTGGAGATTTGGATGGTATGTCATGAAAGGTAGATTTTGTCAGTTACTTGTTGAGGCTAGAGCTACAAGTAAGATGGCTTGTAAATAGAATATATAAGCAGGCCTTTTTCCCCCTCCTCAGTTTAAGTTCCTCAAGCAATCCCAGAATCAACATATGTATCACTTGGAGATTTCAACCCATTCAGAGAATATCTCAAACAAGTATCTGAGTCATCATCACACAGCCTGGCCAGACAGTGTTCATCATCATCACCCCCCCCCCCTCCCTCACCAACACCTGTGATATTAATCAGATTTTTAGATAGCCTGTGTTAATGTATGCCATATATATCAGTTATGTAGTCTAAGTTTGATAAAAGACTGCTACATATAGCTTATCTATCATAAGTTTTTGCCAAAACACTTCAATAATTTTTTTTTCAGAATTCTAGTTTAGTACATCAAAGGGGCAGGTCTTTCAAACCACCCATAGCAGCTGTAATAAATTCATACATACCTGAAATAAAATAACTGCTATTTCCCCCTCAAAGGACTGCCGCCCTTCCCAAAGGAGTTCTCACAGGGGCTATTGGCACAGTCATCAAGTAAAAATGCCACTGTGACAAAATTTCACTTTTGTCACCTTCTTTCAGGGTGTGCTGGAACGCCCTGCAGTCATGGAGTGAGTTCAAGCCTCTGTGGGCACTTTTATTGGTATGCACTTGGCTTTGCAGACATTGTCACCTGGCATACTGCAGTCAAACTGCTGTAAACCAGCCCTACAGTTGTGGATGGCATAAACCAACCCTGGATGTTTTGGATGTCCAAATATGTGAGCCAAAAAAACAATTTCTTTTTGGACTTTTAGGCTCTTCCCAGCCTTAGAAATTTTAGATACATACTGTAGAGCATTAACCAACACATAAGCAGGCATGATAGGGATGTCTGAGAGCGGAGGGGGGGGGGGGGGCTGCGTCCCAAAGGGACTCTCAGGAGAGGCTTATGAGTAATGTCCAACTTTGTGAGGACTTTGAAAATTTGTGGCTTGCTTGAGCCATTTCCACTTTGGCACACTATTACAAGAGACCTGGCAATCTGGAGGGGAATAATGCAGAGGTGGAACAACGGTGGGCCGCTACGCTACACTACGCTAACCGGCCCACTAACGTTAGCGTAGCGGCCCTCAGAACAGCGCGCCAAGCCTGTAGTGTTAGTGTGCTGTTAGTGCCACTACGCTACAGCGCTTTTAGCGGCAAAAACAGCCAAAAACCCGCTAAAATGTGCTGTAGCGCAGCGTAGTGGGCCCTTTTTTGCGGCCCACACACGTAGTGTTAGCGCAGATACAGAAATCTGTGCTAACACTACGCTACAATGTAGCGTATTTGCGCTACACTACGCTAGGCTAACAATACCGTTAGTGTAGCTGGCCCAGCGTTGGGTGGAAGTAGCCTGGCATCCTGGCTTCAAAATGATGTGCTCACTTTTCATTGAGCTGATGAGCAGGAAACCAAAGATCTTTGAGAAAGAGTTTGGGTCTTTGGCCATTGTGTACCATGCACTGTTGACACAGCTATACTGGAAGTGGTAATATGGATTGTTGTGGCCCAACTGGGTTCAGCAATGATGGATGATGGGAAGGATGGATTTC